TAAAGATGATCTTTTTTCTTGGAATCTGCAATCTGCAAAAAAAAAGTTAATAAATTTTATATTTTTTTACTTATTTCTTTTTACAGTGAGTTTAAGTTTACATTATTGTATAAAAAACAACAACTATCAAATGTCATAGCTTTGGAATTAACATACTTGCTTATATCAGCAATATGTCACTGCTACACTCTCTTTTGTGCCCATCAATATAAACACCAATTTGAAATCCCTCCTAAGGTAAATTTGTTCGGACAGACACTGGATATTGAACCAATACTTTCTAGTATCATACCACAGAATACATCTAACTTTAGACATTTAGTATTCAATAAACTTTATAACACTAATACTGTGAAATATCTTGTAAATAGACTGTAATGGCTATTGATAACTGCAATCAAATTTCATTTCAATAATGGCTTGTAAAAGACCCATTTTGTATTCTCAGGTATGCTAATTTCTGACAGGTAATCGTTCTCACAAGAAGTTTGGCAGAAATGTATTGCAGAATTAATAATAATTCTGACTCCAGTGAACTAAAGAGAGAGACTGGTCACAAAATTTCACAACAAAACATTATTTGTATATAGACATAAGACCAAACAAGTCAGTCAGTTTATGACGACAAACTCACTGGAAGGGATGATCACACATCTATCTCCAAAGACAAGGAAGAACAGAGCCAAATGAGAACCTCACTTAGTCTAGTTAAGACTGAGAAAATCAATCTCTATACAAGTAATCAGATAGGGACTAATCTCTCAGAATGCTTGACACTCCTAACACCTGGTCATTCCATTAGATATTTCTAAATCATCACATGACTGACAGGACTAGAGAACCCATTAGGACAAGGCTAAAGACAATCTTCTGCCACACCATCTACAGGAAGATCCAGAAATTCCAAAGAAAAATCATAGTTAACAATGAGTGCGTGATGAGCACAAAAATGAGATTATAACAATCTAAGGCCATTATCTGATATACACGTTAATGCACATGCCAATCCGTGCAAGTATATAATTTTTTAAATGTTTGGTAAACAATCAATATTTGAATATTCGTCTTTCTAATCTACAAGAGAAATAAACAATCAGTGTGTGTCATGTACCATAAAATTATTTCATGATACAAGACAAAGTAATATAATTAATTTTAGCAGATATATCCATCAAATTCCAAAAAAATGAAAAAGGCAGTGTACTAATGTAATTTATTATAGAAAATTTAATTAAGCAGTTGCTTTATACTATGCTTCAACCACTGACTGTTAATAATACTTGTGTTGGTTTAGACAAGAAACTCATTACTTCATATATTATGTAGGGTTAAGGTGTTAAGAAAAAATTGTTTATAACCTCCAGGTCTCTTGTTTCTAAAGAAAAAATTTAGCAAAATATTAAACCATTTATTTTTACATTGTTTAAGACAAAAACATAACATTACGATAGTAAGAAAATACTCTTCTTTAACGTGTAAAAATTAATGGGGTGAATCATGTATACATGGAAAAAAAAAATGATAAATACCCTGCTTTAACATGTAAAAATTAAGAGGGTGAATCATGTGTACATGAAAAAAAAATGGAAAAGACAAAAAATTTCAAATTCAGTGAGAAAATTACTGCTAAATTTCCATTCATTTTCATGCAAAATGAAAAATTAACACATTTGGTAAAATACCATTTTCAACTTTGAAGCTCAAACATTTTTAAGGCTTTCAGGGACTCTTGCTACTATCATATATTAACAATAAGACATATCTTATACAAGGATAATAAGGGCACTCAACAGAATGCATACTTTCGCCACACAGCTTTGATCATATTCGGCTCTCAAAAAAATAGAAAAATGTGTCTGTATGTTGGTCATTATCAATGAACGTGGACCACTTTTGGCAGGACAATGAGGAATAATATTCTACATATGTCCACCAAGTTTCATCAATACCTGAACATTTTTGACTGAGGTATAGAGTAAAAATAGTGTAAAAAATCAGTACCCATGTTAACAAATAAGGATTGTTTTTATTTTCATGACCTTGCTGTGACCTCAACCCTCCCAAGACTGAACACTTCTAAGTTGGGTCATAGTCCGAATGTATAACAACTTTCAACCAAATCTATTTAGCCATTTTTGAGAAATCTTGCTAACAAACACACACACACACAGGTGAAAATAGGTGGCGGAATAAATAAACTGACATAGGATTGGAATGTGGTCTTTACTGCCTGACAAAAGGCATCTGCCCAAAATTAAACAGTAAAAAGTGTATAGTGAGACACATCAATTTATTCTTTTATCATCTTTTATTGAAGTTGTTATTCTCAACACCTTGCAGAACAACATTCGTTTTCTATAAATTAAACAATTCACCTAATAAACCAACTTAATAAAATATCTAAACCGTGAACTTACCATTATCTGCCAAAGAAACACCAGATGTAAGTGTTGCTGCTCTATCAAGATCATTTTTGGTATCAGTATATAGGTTTGGAAGGTGACCATTTTCACCTATAGACCTTGGTCTCATCTTTCCTCTTGCTTGTTGACGAAAATCCTTTAAAGTAAATTACATTAACATTTGTGCTATTTGTAAATTTGAAAGTACAGCTTTTAAACCAACAGATTGGAAACAAATAACAAGTATTTTTAAGAGTGACAGGCAAAAAATAAAGATTCAATGTGGAATCTTCATAGGGCATTTGTGCAGAAATTAACTTGTTTGTTGCCCTATTCTTATTATTTTTTTCATGTATATTGAATTTCACATAGTCCCACTTATATAATTTGGCTCATTTTATAGCCACTTCACTTACTATGCATTACTTTTTTTAATTGTGAGCACTATCTTTAAATTACTTCATTCTTTATTGTATTGTTTAAAAATGGTACTATCTATTTTATCGTGAAAACTCTCCTTTATGCATCTTTTGTAATAATCAAAGTTTAGAAACCTTGTAAAACAAGCAAAAGGTAACAAGTGAACAAATCTACACTGATGTGTCACTGAAGACTTGTACAGATACTAAAGGCAATCATGTGTAACAATGTTGCACCACTTTGTATTTAGACAACTTGATTCTTATAATGGCAATGTTTAAATAATAATAATGGGGTTTATGCATTTTAACACACCATGTAGTAACCTAAATTAACTTAGGTGTGTATATAATAAATATTATAGCATTGTGCCTATTTTATTGTTTAATATTATACAACAGACAAACTGTTTAATGATTACATTACACATTTTTTTCACCAAGTTATAAAGGACTCAAAAACCCTAAAATATTATATAAACATCACCATTGTAAGAGGCCTAACTGTGTATCTGTTTTCTGATCCAAGCTGTGCTGATGAGACTTGAATAGACAAAACTGCAGTCCACAATAAAGGATGTGGCATCTCAAAGATTGCATTTAGTTTCATTGTCACAGATTATATTTTCTATTTCACCTTGAGATAGAGCTTGAATATTAAAATCTAAATCAAATTTTATCAGCATGTAACAACACTACATTCCAAATCATACACTGCATTGCTTCTAAATCAGATTTTGAAGTACACATAATAGATAGTTTTCTACGTATGCCAAACAAAATAATTCTATAATGATAATGAATATAAAATTTAAATTAAGCATTATAAAAGATGCTCACTATATTTAAACTTGTCAGACACACACAGTTTAACTTACTTTTGCTCCCTCAGAATGAGTTCTTTGAGGTCGTACTGTATTCCTGCCAGAAGTTAAAAGAATAGTGTGAATTATGATAAATGAAGTTACATAAAAAGTACACAATAGACTATCTGAGCAGTGGCCACCTTGAGCACTGATACCAAAGTTTTAGCATTATAAGCCCTCAGACTTACTACTGAGCTTCAGGTGGGAGGGAGGGCACACACATATATACATACCAACAGCAGTATGACATCTGATAACTAAGAAACACAGTGAGAAATACCTTTATAACAGTTTGTACCAAACATAAACAATGACAATTTTAAACTCTAACACACAATTTTTACAGTTAAAATAACTAGACTGCTCTATATTTTGATTAAAATATTTCATTAGAGTTCATCTATTTGGAACTACAAAATTCATCCATCATAAAAATGTATGAAAATCAAAGGCGATGAGTGGAGCATGTTGATTACAATTTATTTTTAACATAAATGGACAATACTTACTTACATCAAGAATGGTTGTTTAAAATTTATTTTTAATAACCATTCTTGATGTAAGTAAGTATTGTCCATTTATGATTACAATTTGTTTTTAACATAAATGGACAATACTTACTGCTGTGAAAACTTTAGATCATCTTCAAACTCTGCTAAGCTTTCCATATGGCCCCTGGATGAAAAAATGTTAATAAGCTTTATTTTGGTTACAACGAACTAATAGTGAAATATATACTTTTCCATACTATTGTCTTCAGCTTTAAAAAAAACTAACATTAAAAATCTTGTGCAACAATATTTCCTGTAATTAATTTACATTTTGATGAACTGTAAAATTTATGGAAAAATCATAGATTTATCTATGTTGTAAGAAAATAAAAATTATTAATATTCTGAACATAATAAAACTGAAGTATGCATTTTGATTGACAAAGACGTATTTATAAAGATATTACTAAGTAATTTTGAGATTTAATACAGTCATTTTCAGACACAAAAACTAATCACCAGGATTCAATTTACAATAAAATACATCTATAAACTGTGAAAATAATCACAATAAAACATTAAAACACGCTTCTGTGATAATTAGTCTTAATGAAGGATTAAGTAGCTTCAACAAGAAGCATCTTTCTTTAGACCTATTCAGTTCAATGGGTAATGCTGTTGTATTTTAATTTCAAATTAAATAAATACAACTGTTTCTAATTTATATGAACAATCTCAGTTTCATTTTAAGATTTTGAATGAACAGTATATATCACGAGAATCTTAATGTATTTGTGGAAGTAAAAATTTCATATTATACAACACAGTCAGAGCTGCCTCCTTAATAATTACCCTTTCATTATTGTTTAGATAAAACCTAAATTAAATATATCATGAGCCACTAACATTTAATAGAATACCATAAAAAAAAAATTTGGCAAAATATTTTATGTGAAAGTAACACATTTAAATTCATTACAGTCAAAGCCTTATTTTAATGAAATATATCCACTGAAACTACGAAAGGAATAATAACATCAGAAGGAAACATGAGAAGAAAAGTGTTATGGTGATACAACTGGAATTCAGCCTCTTATGACATAAAATTCATAAATTGTACTAAATAAGCATGTTACTTATACAATAGGTAGCAATAATCATAATCCATATATTTAGTAGGTTTAAGATTGTAGTTTTACTCTCAAAACATTTTAATATTGAAGTAGTCTTTCACTTCACAATCCCTTAGGCAAGTTTCAATATACAATTTTATGATGCAAAATGATAATTAGCCATTCTAGGTAGTATTTCCCAATGCCAAACAAGATAAATTACTCCTATTATATTGTGAAACCCCTCTGATCCTGTGTCTGGGTACTTCCTCTACAATCAAGCTAGCTTTCCATGAATGAGAAATTTTGAAAAATAGAGAAAAAATTGGGAGTGGATTGTTTACAAGATATTAAACAAGTCTTGTATGAACTTTGAAAAAGATAACTTAATTTTATTCATCTGTACTTGTACAAAAACATGTACAATTTCTTAAACTGACTTAATCCTATGACTATTTCAGCACCGAACTATGGTGCAGTGTCAGTTCTAGCAAGTGTCTATTCAAATTTCCCACCTAACAGATGAAGACATTCTCAGTAACTTTAGTGCCACCAGGCAGTATATTAAGTTACCTTACACATGACTAAAGCTTTCTTGGTCGAACTGGAAACTGAGATTTTCAGCAGTTGAAACTTGGCTAAAGCATTAGAGCAGAGGGTTCAAGTCCCATCCGATTTCAATTTTTACTTGTTTATCAAAATTTTAACTTCAGAGGATAGAGTATTACTCTTAAAACGTTCATAGCTTGGATTTAGCAAGAAATCTTACTATACTATGTATTTTAACTCATTCCATTAATACAAGATCTAGTCTGTTGGCTGTGAAATGTAGAGATACTGCAGTAAATTAAAACTTACAGTATTTATCCATTTCTAAGACTCGCTACTTTATGTTCAAAATAACTTATTTTCTCATTCTTTTTAAAAATGTTTAACAGAAGTGTTTTATCTAAGTTGTGTCCCTGTTATTTTTAACCTTCAACAATGTAACATTATATGCAAAAGATTCTTATGTCAAAACACATTTGAACATTCTCATAAATTCTACACACACAATTAAGACCTATTATATTTTAAGATTATCTTCAATTTTAATGAAACAAAAACTATTAAGCAATTCCTAAGTATCCAGAACAAACATTAATGGACAATTCTACATGTAAATAACCACTACATACACAAGCATATATATTTTAATGAAAAAAAAACAACCATGGAAGTAAATATTAAAAATTAAAAACAGGAGAATAAAAGTACAAAAATTACTAATAATAAAAGAACTGACCTGTGGAGAAGTTCTTCATCAACTATTTCTAAGAGACTTCTAAGTGCATCACAGAATCGTGCCTCAGTTTCAGCTGCTTGGTTAAGTCTAAGATGTATAGATTATTATTACTTTCATCACAGTGAATAAACCTGTTTTTTTGTATGGCACTAAACTATGTAAAAACTGCACAATTATTCATCCTACAGTGAAATACATAAAAAAAAAAAAATTGTGTATAGTGTCATTAGAAAAATTAAACGTATACAATCAAACAGTTGTTCATCTGTACATCCAAGTGCCTAATTTATTGCATCACTTGTTTATATTGTGGACAACTGTACATAGGAGAAACAGGTCTGATGTTGTCTGAACAAGTACGTGAGCATATCCATAACATCTGGAATTATGATTCTGATAAATCTGTGGCTAAACATTTCAATAATAAAGATCATAACATTAGCCACTTCAGAATCCTGAATCAACAGTCAAGAAAAACAGACAACAGTATGAATATGAACTCATCTATTGGCTTGGTAATATTCACCCAAAAGGAATAAACAAAGAATTTTCTTTTTTATAATTCTGCCTATGTTGGTTTGTGTGTGTGAGCACGCACCTGTGTATAAACATATGTGAGCTCATAAAAAAAGGTGGTAAATAAATTAGAGAAGAGTGGATGCCTAGAGAGAAAATGCCACAATTCTCATACTAGGGGAAATTCAGGATTTCTTTTATATTGCCTTATGAAATTAAAAACTTAAAATTTATATACTACTAAAATTTGGATTATTAGCTAAGAGAAAGTAGTTTAGTTAAATTTTGAATGTAACTTACTAAATCCTTGTGACATGCACATACAAAGATGCCAGTAGAAAAAATGTTAAATCCACATTATCTGTCAGACTATTACAAAATTGCAAATAGGAACTTTTGTACAAGTGAGAAAAGACTAAATGAGCATTTATTTTAGTATCAAACCAATGTTACCAGTCAGCTCTATGATTTTATTAACTTCAGTTTATCCACAAATTATTAAAACTAGTTGTAAGAAATGTATGCAATGTATATAGACTTCAATTTAGTCAGTACATCTTGTGTGACAAAAAATTAAAACAACACGTACAGAAGGCTTATACAACGTGTGATTATCAACAGTCAAGTTCCTGACTATGAAAATTGTAAAAGTACATTCAAATGGTTTTTTTGCTGTAATGGTATCTTCTTCATGTTTTGATCAAGAATCTGATAGGTTCCCAGTTAGAATGATTAAAACATTTTCATTATTTACACAGTGTGTAAAAGTTAAAAATTTTGCTTGAGTGTAAAGGTTCCAAAGAACTTGAACCTTAGGCTGTCTCCAACTTAGTCAGTATATTTCATGTGACAGAAGTTTAAACAAATATGGAAATTTTTTTTTTTTACTTAATCAATAACACTATAAACAAAAATTTAATATGTAGCACACAGTTTTACCTTCAGATTTTTGTGTACATAAAGGTTTGAATTTGGAAGAAAAGTTTTGTTATCAATCATTGAATCATTTGCAATGCATTCAACATAATCAAAACTAAATATTATTGGGCACAAACTAACCTGTGAATGACTTCAGCATCAGAATCCTGTTCCATCCAAGCTGTGGCTAAATCATAGTGGCTTTCTGATCCAATGTCCTGTGAAAAATGCATTTGCAAGTAAAGACTTATCAAAATCATACTCTTTCTAACAGATACCAAATATATTTTATTAATGATTTACATGTGGGACAAATTTTTCATTGTAACTGAATTGTTCAAAGCTACGTGATTACAACATTCATTATTTTACACATAACGTGAAAGTTAAGATGCACACATTGTTGAGGTGTAAAGATCCTAAAAAATCTATATACTACTAAAACTCTGAGATTGTTTGTTTGCTTGTCTGTACTTAAATACAGCAAAAATGGCACAAAATATCACCATATTTTTAATGAAATTAGAATAGAAACAAAACAAAACAAATTTCGTTAAAATTGGGCCACGGGTTACCGAGTTAGCCCCGTTTTTCGGGTCACTTTTATGAAAATTTCTAGATGAATTTAGGTACACTAGATGGCGCCACATATCGG